TAAAAAGAAACTATTAGAAAGGGAAATTAAGAAAACAACCCCATTTACAATTACATCAAAAAGAATGAAATACCTAGGAATAAATTTAACCAAGGAGGTAAAAGACCTGTACACTAAAAACTATGACATCGATGGAAGAAATCGAAGATGACACAAATAAATGGAAAGATACACTGTACTCATGGTTTGGAAGAATTCATATTGTTAAAATGTCCATCGTACCCAAAGCAATCTACAGATTCAGTGCAATCCTTGTTAAAATACCAATGGCATTTTTTCACAGAACTAGAACAAATAATCCTAAAATTTGTGTGGAGCCACATAGGACCCTGAAAAGCCAAAGCAATCTTGAGGAAGAACAAAGCTGGAGTCAACACGCTCCCTGGTTCAAGAGTATATTACAAAGCTATAGTAATCCAAACTGTATGGTACTGGCACAAAAACAGACACACAGATCAAAGAAACAGGATAGAAAACTCAGAAATAAACCCACACCTGTACGCTCAATTAATCTACAACAAAAGAGGCAAAACATACAATGGAGAAAAGACAGTCCCTTCAATAAACAGTGTTGGGAAAACTAGACAGATACATGCAAAAGAATGAAATTGAACCACTTTCTTACACCATATACAAAAATAAACTTAAAATGGATTAAAGACCCAAATATAAGACCTGAAACCATAAAACTCCTAGAAGAAAGAGTAGGTAGTAAACTCTCTGACATTAGTCTTAGCAAAATTTCTTTTTGATACGTCTCCTCAGGCAAGGGCACCAAAAGCAAAAATAAACAAATGGGACTACATCAATATAAAAAGCTTTTGCACAGTGAAAGAAACCATCAACAAAACAAAAAGGCAACCTATTGAATGGTAGAAAATATTTGCAAATCATATATCTGATAGGGGTTAATATCACCTTACATCTTTCAGAATGGCTATTATCAAAAAGACAAGAAATAAGTGTTGGAGAGGATGTGGAGAAAAGAGAACGCTTGTGTACTGTTGGTGGGAATATAAACTGATGCAGCCACTATGGAAAACATTATGGAAATTCCTCAAAAAGTTAAAAATAGTGTTACCATATGACCCAGCTATTCCACTGCTGGGTATTTATCTGAAGAAAACAGAAACACTATTTCAAAAAGACATATGCACCCCTATATTCATTGCAGGATTATTTACAATAGCCAAAATATGGAAACAATCTAAGTGTCAGTAGATGAATGGATAAAAAAGTTGTGAGATACACACACACACAAACACACAGGAATATTGGCCATAAAAAATAATGAAATATTGCCATTTGCCACAACATGGATGGATCAGAGAATATTACGCTAAGTGTAATAAGTCAGACAGAGAAAGAATACCATATGATTTCACTTATTCATAGAATCTAAAAACACAAATGAACAAACAAAACAAAACAGAAACAGACTCATAGATACAGAGAACAAACTGGTGGTTGCCAGTGGGGAGGGATGTGGAGGGAAGGGCAAAATAGGTGAAGGGGATTACGAGGTACAAACTTCCAGTCACAAAATAAATAAGTCATGGGGGTGTAATATACGGCAAAGGTAATATAGTCAGTAATGTTGCAATAACTTTGTTTGGTGACAGATGGTTACTAGTCTTATCAGGGGGATCATTTCGTAATGTATATAAATGTGAAATCACTATGCTGTGCACCTGAAATGAATACAATATTGTATGTCAACTATACTTTAAAAAAATGAACCCCTAACTCAGCACACACAAAAATCAGTTCCAGGTAGATTTTAAATCTAAAGGCAAAAGTTAAAACAATAATTATAGAGGATCACACAGGAGAATATTTTCATGTTTTAGGAGTTAGGGAAAGTTTTCTTTAACAGAATACAGAAAAAAAAATCCCACTTATACAGGAAAATACAAACAAATTGAGTTACTAAAAATTAGAGGTTTCTGTTCATCACACAGCACCAGTAAGAGAAGGAAAAGGCAAGTCAGAAGGTAAAAGAAAGCATCTGCAACACGAGTAACCAACATGATTTGTCTGCAGAATACACAAAGATCTCCTTTGATTAGTAAAAGACACACAATCCAATAGAAAAATAGGCAAGTGACCTAAACTAGACTTCACAAAAAGGGATACTGAAATGGTCAATAAACATATGAAAATATTCTCATTTTCCTTAATACAGAAAAGGCAAGTTAAATCCACTCCACACCCAGTAAAATTACAAAAATGGGAAAAAAACAGTGTTGGTAAAAATGTAAAGCAACTGCAATGCTCAGGCCTTGCTGGTGAGAGGGTAACTTGGCATGTCCACTTTGGAAACCTATTCGGCATCATCTACCGAAACTGGACATATCCGTATACTCTGACCCAGCAATTTTACTCCTATGTATACATCCAACAGACATATATACTCATGTGCACCAAGAGACATGCACAAGAATATTTATAATAACATTATTTGTAGGAGGTAAAAACTGAAAACATCCCAGATATCCAGAGATAGAATGGTATATAAATCTTTATATGTTTATAAAAAGTAATATCATAAAACAATGAAAATGAAAAGATGGTTGCTATATGCAACAGAAATGGATGTCTCACAAATATGTTATCCAAAAGAAGTTATAAACAAACACATACTGTATGATTCAATTTATATAAAGTATAAAAACGTCAAAGCCAAACTATGGTGTTAACAGGATAGTGGTCCTATTTGGGGAGTTTCAAGGGAGTGGTGATTGGCAGGAGGAACGAGAAAGGCTTCTGGGGTGTTAGTAATGTTCTATTTCTTCACCTGAGTGATCGTTACATAGAAATTGTGATCATTAGCCAAGCTGTACACCAGTGCTTCTCAACCAGGGGCGACTTTTGCTCCTCAGGGAACATTTAGCAATGTCTGGAGAAATTTTTCACCGTCACAACTAGAAACAGGGATGGGTACGACCATAGAGGCCAGGGATGCTGCTAAACATTCTACAGTGCAAAGGACAGTCCCTCCTTCCCCAAGAAAGAATCATATTGCCCAAAATACTGGTAATGCTGAAATTGAGAAATCTTGTTGTACACTTGTTACTTGTGTATGTATGTGCATGTCATTTTGTGTAAGTTGACTCTAGATAAAAACAAAAGGCCATGTGCACATGTGTCTACAAAAAAACAAAGATGCTAGTCTCCTTCCAAGTTTTTCTATTTCTATTTCTTTGCTTCTCGTTAATTCGATTTGTTGTCTTCTAGTGGTCACTAACAGCTGAGAAGGACAAATGCTCCTGCAAAATTAAAATTGAGGAAATTCTGTCCATTAATTTATTATTTCCTCTGTGACTCATTATTTGACTATATTGGAAGAGCTTTTATATCCAACTCTGAAATGCCAAATTAAGGGGAGAATTGGAGAAACCCATTACTCCACAGTGAGACAAACTTTCTAAGTGTCCAGGGTCTAAAATAGCAACTTTTACATTACTTACTTGAGTCACAGATGTATCGTGTGACTTTTAAGTAGAAAGCAAAATGCATTGTTGATACTATTTCTGGATAGGTATATGGAGAAATATCCAAAGTAAATAATTTTATTTCATGGGAAAAAATAAGAAGATATCCAGCATTATTTTTGCATCCTGATTTGCAGATGACTAAACTCAGTTTAGAAAATGAATACAAATACAGACAAAGGCTATGTTTGCAACCCATATATCAATGATTCCGTCAGTCTTCATTCCCCCAGATATGGCAAAGGATGTTTGCTAATTATTGGAAAGAAGTACTAAAAGGAATTTATGTATGTGGGACAAAGAACTGACGATGGTTGCTTAAGCAAATCAAAGTAATGTATCCAAAGAAAGTAAGACAACAACTTAAGTGGTTCATTTATTTAGAACTGCTTATCTCAATCCAGTGTTGAAACATAATATGAATTACTCAGTTCAGTATCACTTTTACGAAAAAGTACAGGAAAAATAACATTGGTTAAATCATGCAATCACTGACTATAGGAGTCCTCGAGAGAACACAGTAGTACTCATTCAGACCAGTTGGAAATGGAAGGTCATTCACTCTTACTACTAAACTATTCACTGTTTCTCCTAAGATAGCCTCTTAACTCCTATAAGAGGATGAGTTTGTGAGGGTGAAAGACAAACTAAACCCAACCAACCAAACGAACCAACCTGAAGTGATGCTAGCATCCCCCATGTCAACCACAGGAAAGAGAGATCAACCCAAATTTGCCTTGAGATGAGATTATTAGGCACCTCCTAGAGTAGAAGAGATGAAGAGATCTTGAAAACATACTAGTTGATCCAGGGGGAGATTTCTCAAAAGGATGAAGTTTGGTAGGCCCCAGGCATAGTGGAGACCCTATCATGCTTAGACTCCAATTTAACCGAACTTACAAAACAATGATTCTTGATTTGCACCCAAGTTGGCAGAGTGAAACCCATGGCCACTAGGTTCCCACAGGCTACACATAGAGGTGAGTGAGAAGGTTCTCGCCCTTTGCCCTTTCTCAAGAACTAGGTTTAGAGGAAATTCAGGAACTACTCCAGCTTTGCTCCTCGGCTGCTGTGGAGAGCAGGCTGGATATTTCATACTCATCATGCCAGTCACTCCAAATGTTTAAGAATGTCTCAGAGGAATTGTCTGCCTTCTGAGAAGCCATGTGGAGCCAAGTGGGGCTCTAAAAGAAGAAAGCTTGTGGGTAGTTTTCAAACACAGAAAGAGCCCTCGTTCTGTAAGGCTTCCCATTTTACTATGTTTTATAGTTTTTAAAAATAAAAACACTGTTCTCTCTGTCTTTGTTTATATCTCTCTCACACACAAACACACACACACACACATACACACCCCCCAGAGCCCTGCCAAGGCATTGTTGAGCCTGTGGTTGGGCTATACTTTTAATCCCATTTCTATCCGTAAATTTTAAGTACGCTTTTTTCTTTCCCCACTCCAATCCCTTCAGCCATCAAATCTGGCTTTCCACGCAAAGGCAAGAAACTCACGCGACTTTGGCACAGACAGTGCACTTCCAGCTGCCATCAAGTCCTGAGACCCGACACTCGTTGCACACTCTCAGCGAACAGGCCTGGCACGGGTCTCCCCGGTCAAATATTAAGCCCAGATGTCTGTGGCAGTGAACACAGACTCTGCTGCCCTCTTGTTGAGTCTTCCCACTTCTACGTTTTGCTTCTAAGAGTTCATTTTTCAGCTTCCTGGAAGGAGAGAAAAAAATCGCTTGATAAAAAAACAACAGAGGAGCAGAGCTATCTTTATTCAAGGGATGGTTTTCATTCGGGAGAATATTTGAAAGAACCAAGGAGTCAGAGCCAAATGCTTTCAGAAAACACAATTTCTCCCTCTACGATCCACAATCCTTTGACATGAGTAGTTGAAAAATACAATGTTTTTTAACTTTGAATTTTGACATTCTCCACTAGTTCTAGGACTTTGCTATTAGTATTTATTCACCTTCTACTCTAATTTCTCCAGGATATCTTTGACACCATAACACTGGAGTACAACGGCAGTCTAGAGGTATGCACAACAGCATGTTATTCACTTGCCTAGATGTACTACGTGAGGCAAGAGTGTGAAATCAAACTTGGCAATATGGGAACTTTCCTTAAGTGATCGAATGAGGAATTTACTACAAACACATTGACTGCCATTTCAGCATCCAAATGCTTCTGCTTAGCACTTGAGGGTTTCCAACGATTTCCACTGACCTATGGGCTTTGCTGTCAGACATCGCCATGTTTGAATCTAGGTTCCATCATGAATTAGCTGTCCAATCTTAGGCAATGATTTATCCACTTAATCTTAGTCCAAATGGAATAATACTCTTTTTCTAAAAATAAGAATAATAATATTCTTAGATGACTTTTTAAGATTAAATGAGATAAATATATGTAAAGTTACCAGCATGGTTCCTGGCACATAGGTACTAAATAAATGCTATTTCCATGTCCCTTCTTAAACTACCTGATATGTAATCTATTTATACACACCTTAAGAAAATAGCTATTCAAAGTGTGGTCCTTGTTCTAGGAACAGCAGCATCATTTGAGAGTTTGCTAGAAATGCAGAATCTTAGGCCCCACCTGAGACCTCCTGGATCAGATTCTGCATTTTCACAAAATCTCCAGGTGATTAGAGTTTGAAAAACAAAGGTTTTTTTAGAACATTTGTTCTCAAATTTGGCTATACGCTGGAATCACCCGGGAAGATTTTAAAAAATAGTGATTCCCAAGTCTCACCCCCACAGATTCGGATGTAATTAGTTTGGAATGCGGCCTACACAATGATATTTTTTAAAGCTTTCCTATTTATTCTAATATACTGCCAAATTTGGAAAACACTACTGTAGAAAACAGGTTCATTCCTGCTTAAATGCTTCACAGACATGCCATTCCTTTATGTTATCCATCTCCAATCCCTTCTTCAACACGACATTTCTATGTTCCAGAAAAAATAAACATCGCAGAATCATCCCACACATCTCATGCCATCTCCTTTTACATTTGTGGTGCTGTGCATAGTTACACCCAACTGGACCAGCCTCTCCTCAAAGGCAGGAACATAGTTTCTCGTACATACTGCTCAGGATCCAATTTCATGCTAGATTATAAGATACTTAAATGTTTTTATTACTATTTATTATCTCTTTTGGGTCTTCAAACTAACTTGTGATGTATTATGACTCTCACTTTAAAGACAGTAAGCAGTATAGATAAAACCAGAAACCAGGTCTTTTATTTCCTATCTTAATGTGAGATTCATAAATGGAGAATTTAAAAAGTGAGGACTAAGGTTTCCAAACTTTTGATTAATTGTCTCCTTCATTCATCCAATGAGCATCTATTGAGTGCCTACTGTGTGCTAGGCATTCTGGTATTCAGAGGCGAACATGAGTCAAAACAGGACACCTAAGGATTCCTATTATCATTGATGTTAGTCAAGAAGAGGACAAATGACGTAAAATGATGCACGTTTTGCAACAGGCAGCCATACAGAGCACTCTTAAGTCCTCGCTTTCTTATCCTTCTAAATACAAATGACAAAAATCCACAACACATGTTTTCCTAATCCCTGATTTAGAGCTTACAAAGAACCTTCTGTCCTGTATTTTCATGAGCAACCGGCTCATGAAATTGAGTGTAAGAAAAGCTCCACACAATTTACTTTTGAAAACTTGTAAAAGCTGCAAGCTTTCAAATAACAGAACGAGTTCTCATTTGAAGACCCCAATTGTATTATTTGGAGAATCACAACAGACATTTGAATACCTCAGAGCACAGGATAAAGAAAATGTTGCCTGTTAAAAATTTATAACAACTCATGCAACAATGATAAAGAAACAAAGTGATCAAAATGAGTAGAACAAAGATAGCAATCCTAGACAGCAGTCCTATTCCAGTAGGCTGCTGGGCCAAAGAGTAATAAACTGAGAAAACAGGGTATTCCAGCATATTTCAGAGGCAAATTCTCTTCTGGAAAACATTTCTATGATCAGGTGCCTGAAGTTTAACCACTTAGCAGCTCCTTAAAGTAGAGAGGGCGAGACCACTTGAAGAAATTACAGCCATAAAGTCAAATATTTATATTGCATCTTTTTGTGCTGTACTGACAGGACTGACTTAGCAATCAAGTTGCACCTAGTTCACAGTGCTAGAGTCTGAAAAGACTTGGGGCTCTGTATAAATCAGGCCACAGGAAAGCAAGAATTTAAAGGTCCAAACACACTGGTTGGGGAACTTCTAAGGCAATTGGTGCTAACTGTTTCACATATTCTGAGAGCTATCTCTGAGACACGTGGGAAAAGCTGGGAAGAATTCCCTAGGCTGGCACAAAATATTAAGCAGCTTACTGATTTTTCAAATCTCTCTTACAAATTGGCCTAATTCAATCACGCCTAGGATAATTCACATTAAGTGGACACAGCCGTTTTCAGACACTCACGAAGAGGAGAAAGGGTAACAGGAGGGTAATTGCAACAAGGAAAAGAAAGTGTGCAATTGGAGAATTAGTACCAAGCAGAAAGGGAAGCATAGGGAACTAGGAGAGAGGAAAAGGATGGGAGATGTCTCTTTTCTCTGCTTTACTAGCCAGCACTTACAAATCAAGGTGGACCTCATTTGGTTCCTGCATTGCTGGCCTAGTCTCAGGAAAGTGTCTGAAAAAGGTGAGTTTCTGGGCTAAGTACAGTACCTGTTCATCTCTCTCATCCACATAAGCTAGAAATGTTTCTGGTTCCAATTACCAGGCTTAAAATATTGGTTTAATTTTTTCCCCACGTAACAAGAAATCCAGAATTAGGCAGCTGCTTGCATTAGTTCAGCTGCAAAATCAGGTAATTAAGGATTCCTTTCATTCTTTCATCCTGATGGTCCCCTATCTTCAAGATGTGGCTTATCATTCTTATGCAAAATGGCTAGACAACCCCAGCACAGCATCTACATTAAGGCAGAAAGAAGGGGGAAGAGGTGTCAGTTGCACCTGTCTCTCAACAGAAAAGCAAAAATGGACTCAGAAGTCCTCCCATTAGACTTCTCCTTAGGTTTCCCTGACCTCACAGTGTCACATCACCAATACTGGCCGCAAAGGAGGCTGGGAAGGTGGAACAAGTTGGGACCACACATCCCTGCCCTCTTGACATCAGATGTGGTCATGTGACTCATATTGGCCCATGAAATGTGGTATGTGATTCCAGGTAAATGCTTAAAGAGCAAGTGCATGGTTTACCACATACTCTTTTCTTTGCATGGAGAATAGCAATGTGCCAAATAGTTCTGCTCTGTAAGTCTGGGTCCTGGTCTGAGGATGCCATGAAACAGAGTTCCCAGCCATCCTATCACGGACATGTAGCATGAGAGAGAAATAAACCTTCATTATTTTAAGCCACTAAGAATTTGGGGCTGTTACCGCAGCATCACTTAGCCTATCCTGACGGATACAGCCTAGTTCTTCATCGGGCTGGCTTCCACATATCCTTTTTATTTCAGCTTTACTGCTGCTTCCCCAGAGAGTTTCTCTGATCACCAAATCTACAGCAGATTCCCATCTTATTCTCACTCATAGAGCTGTGTTCTTCTTCCTCAGCACTTACCATAATTTTTAATTTATATGGCTGTGTTATTTGTACATCTATTTGGCTGTTTTTATGGGTTTAATGTTTGTCTTGTACATTTATTTGGCTGTTTTTATGGGTTTAATGTTTGTCTTGCCAACTCCTATAATCTCTAGGAGGGCAAGACTATCTCCGTTTTGTTCAGCTTTGCATTTTGCAGCACATAAACAGTGCCCGGGACATAATAGATATCATTTAATTGAACGAATAAAAGAAGGCATAAGCAAAAGCTAGTCAGTTACAGAGAAAGAAAGAGGAAAGGAAGGAAGGAAAGCTTAGCCATGCTGCTTACGAAGTATCACTGGGCATTCCAGTTAAGATAACGTTATTGTGAGCATTAAGTAAAGTGTTAAGTGCCGCTTGATGCATAGTAATGGTGGAATAGATTCCAGTTAACCTCTGGGCCTCAGTTACTTAAACTTCAAAGTGAAGATAATTCCTTTCTATCTTCCTCTGAGGGTATTTGTGAGAGCCAGAGGCAATGAAGTGTGGTAGTGTGCTCTGTGAATTATAGAGGCCTTTACAATATGAAGCCATCATAACTGAAAAGAGAATGAGAAGGGAAAAAATGTACAATGTTGGATGTGCTAAGAATAAGTCAAAATTGGCTAAAATGGAGATCAAATACACTTCGAAAAACTAATGCAAGCCTGAGAAAGCTACAGATTGCTCTCAATTCCTTGGTAAGGATTTCCAGAACTTTTTCCATCTTCCTTAACCTCATTCTTACACTTTCGTTCAGAAAGCAAAAGTGTTGTAATTCTTGAAAATATGACAAATCTAACCATTTCCTCTATTTGCTTTTGTCTGAAGAGAAGCAAAAAGTATGGGAGATGGATGAAAAAGTGTAGTAGAGATAAATATGGCCCAAAATCAACTGTTAAAAACTCATGAATACAAGGAAAAAGGAAAAACAGCTGTTGAAGACATTTAATTCCAGCTAACACCAATTCTTCATTTGAGGTAAACTCTGGATGCTCTTGCATTTTAAAATGTCAGTTTATTCTTTATTCTTCAGGTTTCCTTGTTGCTACACAGACGCGTTCACATTAACATGTGAATTGATGACCTATATGTAGTTGGAAT